CTTTCCCTAGATGCCTAGAGTAAGGAAAGGCAGTCCTTCAAGATATCTTTCCAGAGCCATGAGCACTAACTCCCTGAGCCATGGGCATTTCCTCCCTAATCTCATATGAATTTCAAGACACATTTCAGGATTCAGCACAAGTATCTCCAGTTTCCATGTGGCTTTCCCTGACTATCCAACTTCTTCCTCAGAGACCTTCTTCTCTCCTGAATCCATGCCAAATATCTATAACTAGGGGCTCAGTGCACCTTGAAAGGAACTGTGGGCTGTGAGGCTGCAGTGGGCACAGGGGCGGGTCTCAGCCCATTCTCCGCGCCTCCGCCCAGCCCATCCTGCCACAGGTGGCTCCCGTTCCCTGTCTGCCAGCAGTCCCACTCACACTGTGCTGCTGCTCCCACATGCTGACAGCGCTGGACCCGCTCACACCCATTGATGGTGCAGAGTGATTGGTGCTGGTGCCAGCAGCAGGTGTGAGCGGGGCTGGTGCTGTCAGCGGGTGCGAGTGGCGGCTGCTGCCCCAATTGCCCCTCAGGAGCAGGGGGAGGTGGAGAAGCCCTCAGGGGCGATCGGGGCTGGCAGCCACCACCCATACCCGCTGATGGTGCAGAGTGATTGGGCCTGGTGCCGGGCACCAGCAGCAGGTGCAAGCTGCGCTCCAGTGCTGGCTGTGGGTGAGAGCGGGACCAGCACCGGCAGCAGGTGCAAGCGCCAGGAGAGACCACAGAGTATGGGAGCAAAGAATTTTAAGTAACCACCAGAGGCTCGCCCCAATGACAGCGACTGGTTCCTCACCTTGTTCTGGCATCCCCACTCACCTGCTCCCCCATCCCACTGTGTTCTGTGCTCTGCTGCCTGCTACTGATGCCCACCATGTTCCACACGTGCCCCCTGGTGGTCAGCGTACGTCATAGCGACTGGTTGTTTGGTTGTTCCATGGTTCGGTGTATTTGTATATTAGCCTTTTATTATATAGAATAATATAAGCGTAATATGCTAATTAGACTGGACGCCAGGGCTGCAGCTGTGGGATCAAGGGATCCAGGCAGCTGCGGCTGCGAGGTAGGGACCAAGGCAGCCACTGTGGCTGCGAAGGCCTACTCTTGCATGATTTTCGTGCATCAAGCCTCTAGTCTGATTATAATGACCATATAGTTAAGGAAAGGAAGTCCAGGGTTGGACTAGCCATAGCAATAAATAAATAAGTAAATCAATCAATCGTGATTATTTGAACATTTGTTTTTTAAAAAAGAACACACAATAAAATACCTTAAAGTCAACAAAACCACATACCTATTAGAAGATATCTATTGACTGGAAACACACAATAGCCTAAAGATGTCACCATAGGTCTGTACCAGTGTGGGGACAGCCTCATTCCATCACCCCTCAGATAGGTACTTACTGTATTGGTGGCCAAGGTGTCAGTCACTCTGCTAGCATTCATTATTGGGCCACACAACTTGATGAGAAAACTATTAGTAAGTGACTAGACTGTCACATATAGGAGCCAAGATTAGAGGCAAATGAACAATGACAACAGTGGGAAGATGCTGTAGGAGACAGGGCAACAGGACACCAAAGGGGAGGGACCCCCTTCAAAGACCACTGGGCCCACTGCAGCACCTTGAGAAAGAGGAAAGGACAGCTCTCAATGACACACTAAACTGCGTAGGCTTCATTTTAAGATTTGGGGGGAGGTTGCAAAAAGCCTGAAATAAAACAAATAGTAGAATATTTTAAGAGTATTAATATCCATTTTATTTATCAAGAAATTTATAGGAGATTTTTGTGACCTGGAACTATTATTATTGTAATATTTTTACACATTAGGATAATATCCACAGAACAGTGAATATTTTCCTAAATACTCGACTTTTTACTAAATAAATGTTGATAGTCTTCACTAAAGTATATTAATGTGCATTTCAATGTACATTTTGACTGTAAAAACTTTTTTGTACTCTACTTGTCTTAAAAGTTATCTGTATTTCATATGTATTTTTTTCTCTAAAACAAGACTGGGTTTTTATAGGCAGGATTCTTATCTTGTATTGTATGTTGTTATTATTTCAATCCAGTGCTCAACAAATAGATGGTGACAGAGGTGTCAGTGGGCACAGGGGTAACTCATCGCCTTCCCCCCTACCACCACCATGAGGGCTTCTGGCCATCAGCATGCCATACTAACTGCAGGAGCATGTTCACTATCAAAATAGCAACTGACGTGGGGGCACAAGAAGGAGAGAGAGTTAAAATAAGCACCACGAGCCCTAGCTGGTTTGGCTCAGTGGATAGAGCATCTGCCTGCAGACTGAAAGGTCCTGGATTTGATTCTGGTCAAGGGCACATGCCCAAGTTGTGGGCTTGATCCCCAGTAGGGGGCATGCAGGAGGCAGCTAATCAATGATTCTCTCTCATCATTGATGTTTCTACCTTTCCCTCTCCCTTCCTCTCTGACATAAAAAATATGTATTTAAAAAATAATAAAATAAAATAAGCACCAGGATGTTCCCTAGTGAGATCCAGACACACCACCACTCCTTTATGCTGCTATTGGGTGAGCTTCCTACATATCACATTACAGCACAGGTCCTTGTACATTTTTGAATATGCTCCAGCAAAACCCTGGGAGGTCTTATGCTTCAAAATTCAAAGGAGGTGAGTATTACCCAAAATCACAGGTAGAAAGTTAAATTAATGGGCAGAATTCTTGATTTTAAGTTCTCTCATTTTTTTCTCAAAATTGTGGTGCCTCCTACTACTTGCCTAATAGCAACCACAAAATGAATAAACAAGTAGCAAGCAAACACTGAAGAAAAATTCAGCTTGCTGTCTGATAGATCTATGTGCTTGTGAATATGATTTTATATTATTTACTAGTGGCCCGG